AAAACAGCTAACTTAAGATGCAAACATTTAAATTTTGAAGTTTAACTGTTGAGAGGCCAAGTCAGTTCTAGGAAAATACAAACAACATGAGGACAGTCATGTTTCCCCCAATTCCATCCCCTGTAAGAATATTTCAGGTCACCCTTTTGTTGGGTTTAGGAGTAAGAACTCAAGGTTGTACGAGAGTTACAAATTTATTTGTGTATTTTTGGATAGTTGCAGATTTCAGTGCTTGGGATGAGCCTTGAGAACATCATGCTAAGTGAAGGACGTCACTCACCAAAGGCCACATATTGTAGGATTCCATATGAGAAATGTCCCAAATAGGTCAGTCTATCCAGAAAGAAAGTAGATTAGCCATTGTCCGGTGCTGAGTTGAGGCGAGTGACTGCTGACAGTTAAGGGGTCTCTTTCTGGGGTGCTGAAGATGTTCCGACACCAGACTGTGATCATGGTTGCAAACTCCGGGAATATACTCAAAGCCATCGAACGGTATTCTTTAAGCGGGTGAATTGTTTTGTGATATGAATTATAGCTCAGTAAGGCTATTAATAAAATTAACATGCCTGATAATGTTCATAACAGCACTGGCATGAAAGATAACAAGAAAATCAAGTTAAGCTAATACAGCTTCCATAGAAGGCTAAAATACATAAATCCCTGAGACCCTGGTCTCCCCACTATAGATCACTTTCCCCCAACAACCAGTACTTGCCCTTCCTAACCCTGGTCATCATCATTGTTCATAATCTGGGTCTTCCCCTCTCTAATATAAACTCTACAAGGACAGAGACCATGACCTTCTTATGCAGCGCTATGATCTCAGCAACTAGCACACAATGATCAGTAAATACCTACAGTAGGATTTATGTATGTATGCAGTACACACTTCCATATGAATCAATCAATCAATCAGTCAGTCAGTGAAATCATCAGATGGGGGCAATTCAACCAGTCAAATTGTGTTCGAACTGTCCCCTTAAATCTCTTCTCCGATTCTCCCATGTTCCTGGCCACCCTAGTACACACACTTCCCAGCCGCCGCTGCAGTTTCTTGCAACCAGGTGACCATAATCTTACAAATTAAAAGTTAATGAATGGGATATGTGCATTTTTAACTCATTTGCACCAAAGACAACTGCTTGGCTTGGACTTCACTATGCTTCAACCATGTAAATAATGACAAAGGCCCAAGGTAGGAGAGCAAAAGAGAGAAAGAACCTGCCCACATAAGCTAGACTGGTGAGACTGCTCTATAAGAGAGAAGGAAACCCCTATTTTATGTAAGCCTTTGTCTCTTGGGGTCTCTATGCTGTAATAACAGCCTAGTCTTTACCCAGATTGTTAAACCCAGGTACAGGTGTATGGGGAGAAGCGAGGAGCACGAAGGTTTCCAATGCTTCACTGAAAAAGCCAGTGATTCAGTCAGTGTGGTCATCTGGTGGCTCAATGAAGACACTGTTATGTCTATACAACAACGTCCCAATACCACTCAGAACGGTTACAAGAAAATGAATTTTATAAAGTGAATCTGAATCTCAAGCAAAAATATATGTAGGCTCAATGCCAGTGTTGAGGGAAAGCAGAAAGAAAATGATGTATAAGCCTTTATTAAACCGCCAAACTAAGGCAGCCATGATAAAATGACATCAGTGTAACTGTGACCTAAATACGATGTCTTTATAGGTCTAGTCTTGACATTCTATGTGACCATGGGTGAGCTACTGATCATCTATGGGACCACCTTCCCCGTTTGTAAAGTGGGGATTATAATCATTGCTACCTATCTCTCAAGAATACTGGCACAAACCCATTTTGTAAAGTGTTCTGATCTATTTGGAAAAAAACTGTTATATCGCTACGAAGGAAGATGACCGTTATTTATGATTCTTCAGAACTTCGAATCGAAATTTGAAAAATGGCTTCATCTGTTTTCTCTGAATTTGCCTGGCCCCTTTATGCACATAAGTAGTTCTTCCCATAGTGCCAATGTAGACATATTTACTTACATCTATGTTATTAATGATTCCGAGATTTCAAATGTGGCATGACATTTACTGAGAAGCACCTGGCATCTGAAATCAACCTTTTTTTGATGCTGGGGAGATGGTGCTGGTTTCTCCATCATCGCTGGATAGCATGATCATCTCAGGTTTTTGTGGGTTTTTGTTTGCTTTTGAGAGACAGCGTGCCCGTGGACACACATACAAGAGAGGGAAGAAGGGGCAGAGGGAGAGAGAGAATCCTAAGTAGACTCTACACTCGCTGCTGAGCTCGATCACAGGGCTCGATCCCACAACGCTGAGATCATGACCTGACCAAAGTTAAGAGTGGGTGCTTAACTGACTGAGCCACCCAGATGCTCCACACACTTCTCTTTTTAAGACTTATTCCCTGGGAAGAAACAATAGTTATTCCAGCCATTTCGTAGACTTTTTTTTTTAACTTTACATTTTTAATAAACCTTTTTTCTTTTTTATATATGAAAATATATAAATAAATATATAAATAATATATATAAATGAATTATATAAAAATATAAATATAAAAAATAAATAAGGATTAGTTTTCCAAGGGTCTTTGAGCTTGTTAAAAGGTAAAAAAAAATTACATGTGATTTATTACTTAAGTCTCTATATCTTCACTAATTTCTTAAAAAAGAAAAAACCTTGAAATGAGGGTTAAATAGGATGGAATTGATATTATAGAAGAATAAAAATAAATAACCCAATGTTAATTGGGGGTAGAAAAAATGAGGTTGATTTTAAAAGATCTCAATCACAAAAGCTGGAGTGGAAAATAATTATACAGAGATTGAACAAAAAACTCTTACTCTGAGCTTCCTAGCAGTCAAGTTTAAAAGAAAAATTATATGAATTTGTTACTCAGCTTCCTTCCTACTGTCCTTCATGACATTAGCCAACAGAAGGACAAAATTTTTCACTATTCATGAACTTTGACAAGGAGTTCCCCATTTGCAACATATCATATCATATAATACACCGCGTCCTTGACATTAATTATAAAGAAAGAATTCTCTCTTCATGGAGTGCCTCTCTTAGTCAACACTAATGAAAATTTCCTGGAACTTTTTTTTCCCCTCAAACTTGCCCCATCTCATGATATTTTAAACTTTGAACAGTATCACAGAATTGGAAACATATCACATCGCACACATTCAAGTGTGCCTATTTTCAGGTCATGGACGTTAGCACAGGCATTATAAAGACATCAAGTCAGAAGAAAAATAATTCATGCTTACAGGTGACTCCAAAGAAAACAATGAAAAGTGCTCAGGATGCCCTTATTTGAAGCTGTCGGGGTAACACAACTCGCAAGGTGAGTATTTCATCTTTTCAACCACGCTTTCAGCTTTGTTTAATCACAGTTTTGGGCTCTGCCAGAAATCTTTGCTAGTTAATGGCACAAGATGAGTTAAACACCTGGCACAGCTTTGCCTGAGGAACATCCTGGACTGAGATCTCGCAGGGCTCACGGAGACCAGGAGACACAAGGTACAGCTGAGCTGAACTGCTGTGGCAGAGATAGAATGGCCCACAAAACAGAAGATGTATCTTGCATGGCCCTTCACAGAAGAAGTTTGCAGATGCCCGAAGTTAATTAAGCCTTCCTTCTTAAGACTGGACAACTGAGACTCAGAAAGGGAAGTGCTTGGACTTGATAACCCCCAATACCAGTTGGGATCTACCCCTTTCCATGCTGCCTCGTAGAAATGAGACAGTCTTCCACGGTGAGCGAGCAGGAGCTTCCCACAAAGGTTTTATTTAAACAACAATGATGGTGAAATGCAGCAAGTGGGATTTTTTTGGCCTCCAATCAAATGTGCCAGAATGCAACACTAACCATGAATCCATACTTTTAAAAGGCATTCTAGAGTCCCAGAATGCTAAGATTAAAAACAAAAGTGATCCAAGAATCTTCACATTATAAAGGTAAAAAAAAACAAAAAACAAAAAACAAAACAAAAAAAACCCCAAAACGTGTGTAGCTAAAGAGTAGGAAATCTCTGTCTTACCAATTCATAAACTCAATTTAGTCATATCTGGGTGGAGACCTGGCACAACCAGGGCAGCGAGGAACCTGTTTTACAACAGACACAAATCCACGAACGCAAACGGAGCTGTTACTGGCCTAAATTCAAGAACCAAGTGAAGATGCTCCTTGACACACCTCAGCCATGAAAATGACCGGCAAGATTAACTTGGGGCAGATGACCACGGCCTCACCAGAGCGAGACCTCTAGAAATCAAGAAAATACCGGAGCACCCGTAAGCATTTGAAACGTGCTTTTTTGTTCCCCCTCCCCAAAGTGAGTTTGAGGAAATTTAATTTCGCTTTAATTCATCAAGTTACATTAGTCTCTCTGCAAACGTCTAATTTTAAAATCAAATACTCATTTGATTTTCAAGCAAGGTCAAGAGAACAAGGCAGCCTAGCGCTGACATCACAGGGATGTGCCCCATGCCGCTGAGAAGTTGCATCAGTGCTCTGGGTTGCTACGGCATTTGACTATTAATTTCTGAAGGAAGGTGATTATAAAGCCACCAGATGAACATCAATCGGATGACACCATTTCGGCACAAAACACCGACAGGCGCTGCTCGTGGTCACAGCAAGTTCACTTTTATGAATCACCTCTTTTGTGATGCGCATATGCCTTTCTAACTTTAAGCCAACCGAGTCAACCGCCAATAAATAAATAAATAAATAAAAGTTCAGCTTCAACAAAGAGGAGAAAACTTGAAACCATTTTGGCAGGGGGGGGGGGGGGGGGGAGGGTCACTCTGTGGACTATTTCTTAAGGACAGTCTTTTCTTGAAAGATCTCCCCCAAAGATGCTAGGGCATGCGGACTTATGCACAAATGCACACAAGTATTTTTGACAGCTACAGAGATCGGAGAAGAGCTGAACTGAGATATACCTAGAAGGAGGGAGATAACGGGCCAAGATATAATCCCACTAATCGTATTGCATTTACCTTTTTTGGCTTCTGGAAAGCAATCTTCAGGTATAGTCACCTCAAAAGGTCACTTCTTACCCTGAAAACAAAAGAGAACGTCACAATCTGAATGTCAAGAGACAGCACCAACCACCTTTTTGCCTGGGACAGATGCAAGGGCAACAGAAGGACTCGGTTACGTTGCATGGCAAATGACTTTTCGGAGTTAATAAAAACAAGTCCCAAGACCAGTGATCTGGAGCACAGGCCTGTGAGCGCCTCAAGACAACAAAAACAACGTGGGTGGAGAAAGTCAAGGTGAAACATTTTGAATTTTGCAAGTGAACTTTTTCTCATCTTGTCATCGATCAATTTATTTTCTGGCGCAATAATACGTGACTCATAGGCCTTTGTTTTTGGAAACCGGTCTGCTCCTTGAACGTGTCTGTTTGGTTAACATCCACAACATCTCTGATTTCATTAACGCATGGGCTTGTCTCCCTCCCCCCCACCCCCAAGAGGAGAGTGAGTTCTTATAGACAAGATGCTTAGGCTACCCTGGAACCTTTCAACAAGAACACCAGCACCAGGATCTTCAAGTCTGGGGAGGGCTGGGGGGTTAATCGGTTGGTGAAAGCTGTTCACACTGTGTTTTCCACTTAGCATTTATCTACCAGATCTACCAAGTTAAATAAAAATGGTTTGTGTCAGATGAAATAAACAATTGAAACAGAGCTCCCTAAAACACAAAGAAAGCCTAGAACATGTTTTATCCCACATCTACTCCCGCATCTGCATACTCTCTTATGCAAAACAGTGTGTAATCCTCTAAGAAACATTACAAGCTGCCTCTTTCTGCCCATGTAACTGGGATCAACATATGGCACAAGTGAAAAGAAAAACATTTGTTTATTAATTTAGAGCGGGTTACCGACAGGGTACAGGACTCACTCCACATCAGCTGACCAAATGCTCATGTAATTTTTTTGCAAGATGCTAAGATCGTTTCATCGTTTTACTAAAATGTTAATATCCTTTTGCTCACTCTTCAGAACAATATGTAATGAAGTGGTTTTAATTTTATACAGAATATATCCCTGCTTATCCCTCTGCTGTCAGCCCTGAATGTGGAAAGGCAAACATTATTGAGAAGAGTTAAATCTTATTTCACAAGGGCTAAAATCTGAAAGTGGCACTTTGGTGAGTACTATCTTTGAGGAATTGATCTGAGGCCAATTTATGACATTTCCACAAGCAAGTATATGCAGATTCTTGCCATAAAGATTGGAAAAAAAAATGCAGGCTCTGAGTGAAATCATAATTTTCATGTTTACTGTAAGAGGAAATTGGAGGTTTTCACCATAAATGTTCACCATTTGGGTGGGGGAAAACCCTAGCTCTGGGACTTAAAATTACTATTTTGCAACCTGCCCCAAACCTTTTTGTTTTTACACAAAACAATTCAAATTGAAAATGAAAATTTTGAGACACACTGCTGATGTGTGTCCCCAGGATTGGTTTCTCCACTGGTGAGAACTCTGTCACAGGACAAACGGTGCTAAGAAAACAGGGAGCAATGATGTTGGGGTCCTCAGGGTATGGGGGAGATCTGCAAAGCAGCCCCACTCCTCCCAAGTAAGAGGAGCTCATTAGATACAAGGCACAGTGATCATCTCATACACGAGAAATTTCCATCTTACCATGCGTACAATCTTAAATGGAAAGGAAGTGAACTCTGGCAGATCCTACTGAATTCAAGGCAAGAACGGCCATTCTCCCTCCTTTTTACTTGACATACCCTCCAATGGGTGTGCTCTAAACTAATGTTCGTGTTCATCCATTGAGTTACATTTATTTTTGCATGTTTGGCAGTCAGATCTATAGTATTAGACTTTGCAGTGCAGATGAGATTGCTATCATCTAGGCCTGGCAAAACAACTGGACCTTATTAAAATTTAATTTAAAAAAAAAATCCTGCTGAAAATGCGTACTTTGAATAAAGTTATCTTGAGCCCTGTATTCAAACCTGTAGAAGGATTTCAGGGAAGAGTGGGGCCTATTTCTCTCCACACCTGTCTACACAGTACAGCGTGTAAGTGAACAGAACAAAAATATATGCTGATTTACCCTCACAGATTTTACAAGTATAATTTTCCCCTAGGGAAACTAAATTATACAACTGACCCTCCAACTTATAATTACTCAAGCAATACAAAATCGGCTACATTTAATTTTTACTTATACAAAAAGAAAGAAAGAAAGAAAGTGAGAGAGAAAACTGGCAGTGGGATACAAATCATGTTTTCCTCTATTGTGAAGTTCCATAAATTTTAATGCATATGCACATTTGACCAGTCATTAATTTATTTCTGTTGATTTTAGTTTTTAGTATACATTAGCCAAGTAATCTAAAAGATATTTTTCTAGCTTTGCAGAGAAAAGATTAATAGTTCAACAGCTGTTTGCCATCATGCTAAATTAAATGAAATGTGTCAATATAACAGACAAGAAAATTAGGGAGTAGTACTGGGGCCTGAGTCTGCATCATGACGAGCCTGGAAGAATCAGAAATCAACAACTAGCAGAACAACCTGCATTTCATTTTTTTTCCAAAATGTAAAACTTCCGTTTCCAGAGCGGTTTGCTATTTTTTTTTAAACAATCACTTTTACTTATCAAATATATCAACTAGTTACCTGAATGCTTACTCACCCCACAGCATCAAAACTAAAATTAAATGGTTATGTAAAGCTTTTTAATATAAAAAAAAATATTCCCCTCCAGCCCACGCATCTTCTTTTAAAATGCTGTTACCATCTGAAGTGCATTGTCTTTTTCTCTCTTTCTGAAGTTTCCCATTGGTTTTAGGTTTTAAAAGTGAGCCAGGAATATGGTAAATAAAAATGACTTATTTTCCTTTGTGTCATTCTCTGTACAGTTAGGATCCCGTGAACACTGGAACTGTTCCTGGTGTGGCCACCTCACTATTGTCTGCAAGAGTGTTGTCCACTGGAATCTACGCGTTGACCATAAACACCTTGAGCAAGACACCAATCTTCAGCAGCAACCCACTCATTAGAAAACTCAAGGTACCCTCCTCTTCCTCTACCCTTTCCCACGTGCCACAGCTTAAGAACTCCCCACTGTATGTGGACCTCCTAGGTTAGACAGTGCTTCAAAGTCACACTTCATAGGGTGTATTTTGCCCCCCAATTTCATCAATGCCATAAAGAATACATAAACGCCAGCTGGCATGGAGCCAAGTTGCAGATAAACACGGAGGCTGGACTTCATTTCACAAGACTGAAAATGAACAATATACACTCGACTTTTCCCACTAAGAGGTTGTCCCCCCTTTCTTCCATGGCAGCTGAAGGAAACGATGCGCACCAGGATTTTTGCATTAGGTTTCATTTTGCATGATCATACAAAAGGGACGGGGAAAGACCACCCGGGTTTTTCATCTTAACCTTCAGTCCACCAAATGAGACCTGAGAAGATACTGGGCACCAATGTCCCCGGCGATGTAAAGATGTCACAGCCAGCTCCAGGACCACGAGGAAGGTGGCGATTCAGTAATTTGTATCTGGTTAGAGAAGACCTTCTCTGAAAGCCCAGGAACATAGCTCAAGCTTCTCATACCCCAAATACTCCAATCAAAGGACATGTACTTCATCTAAGAAAACTGAAGGTCTAAATGGGCCAATTTCCGAGAGACGCCTGTCTCTTTAACTAGAGACTCCTAACTCATGTGGATTTTTGTGTCTTGTTTTTCAAAGATTTCTTAGGAAAACAGGAGCATATCAACACAAATTTGCCTAGCTGAAAAATGATAGTACAAGGGTCACTTCGTTTTCTGCACTCGAGACAAGAAAATCCACTCAGAAATCAACCACAGAGAGTTTTTTCTCTGCTCTAATAACTTCAATATTGAGTCAGGCTTACAGAAAGAAAAGGCAAAGAGGGCAGGAAGGAAGAGAGAAAAAGAAATGAGAGGGAAAAAAACTGGGAGCACAAGAGAGGGGAAAGAGGAAAAGAAGGAAGGGACATGGAAAGGAAAAGGCCCAGCTGTACAGTTCAGGCCTTTGGGACACCAGCCAGGCTCGCTGGTTTACAGTCACTACATTTCTGTTACTTCTGTCTACCAAATAAACCCACCGTCATTTCCCAAAGCCCCTCCTGTGGCTGCGGGGCACATTTTGCTTCCTTTCACTTCACCCTCTGGGACTCTCACCAAATCGTGGCACCAAACCTTGGGGTCCATTCTCATAAGAAAAACTGAAAATACTAGAAGATAAGCCATGGGGCACAGACAACCTGAGGTGAGGCTAGGCATGCCCCGGGGAAGGTGGGGGGGGGGGGTGACTGCTGCAGGCCGGCAGCCCCCACCCCTGCCCCCAGCCCCAGCAGTTCCACACTGGTCCATCTCCTCTGGAGAAACTCCTCTCGCTTACCTTACAGAAAAGTAAAACCCTGGTCATGGTCATGTGAAAATATTTTATAGGTATCCTTTAACAGCCTCTAAATGTTGAAACCTAAAAACAATATTTGCTGTTTTCTCTTTGAAGCTCTAACAAAGCCTTTGTTTTAGATTTACCTTTAGTGTGCAATAAGAGTTAATAATCAAATCCATCCCAACCCCCACAAATGTTAAACAAAAAGATAAAAGAAATGCAAATAGCTATTGTCATGGAAAGTTAAAGTACCTGTCTGTATTTTTAAGTGAAAACTATTATCTCTATCAATCAAAATTTAAGAATACAATAGCGCTAATCACAGAAGGTGCTCTGACGGAGTTACTTTTACTCATAAAAAAAAGTATTTTTCCCCTTAAAAACCGAGTATAAAAGTCATATACTTACAATTAGATAAGGTATTTGTAATTTTATTATTAAAAACCTACAGCAGCCTCACTGTTAATAAATGCTTCTAAGTCTCTAGACTGATTTGTACCCAAGAAGACCCAACTCCCTACATATTTTAATAAGGTTGATGAAATTTTATTTAAATTCTCACAGTTTCCAACCTGCGGGGGAACAGCACACTCTTCTGTTGAAAAGAGTTACTCAAGCAGAGGCAACAGTTAACTCGTAATGCAAA